GGGGGCAGTTAAAAATATGCCTGATCACAAAGCCAAAGAAAAAGGATTTAAAGGCATCATGAAGGGAAAAAATGCAGGGAGGGGGTTGGGGTACAAAAAACAGAAGAAAAAAAAAAACAAATGCATAAAAAAGGGGGGGAACCCAGGAGGAGAGAAAAGAAAACCGTGTCACAGAAACACAGGGGGTCTATGGGGGCCCAGATCTGCAGTGCAGTGCAGTGTGCATACAGCCGGGGCGGGTCCCCACAACATTTGAATTGTGCGCCTTGCTGACACAAGCTGATGTAAGCGGGCCGCGGATTGGCTGCGCGGGGCCCCACGCAACGCTCCGATTGGCCCATGCGCACCAACGCATGCGCAGGTGTGTCTGTCTGTCTGTGTGTCCGTCTGGCGTGGTGGTGGTGGTGGTGGTGGAGGTGGTAAGCCAAGGCGGGCTAGAAGACAGATCAAGAGCCCGCGTGCTCCTCCTTCTCAAGTACTCAGTCATTTTACTACTACTACTACTACTACAACAGCAAGAGTGTAGACTATTTTGCTGATGCTGTGATGTGCGTGTGTGCGCGCGCGCGCGTGTGCGCGCTTGTGTGCACGTGTGTAGCTTGTGCACCCAGTGTTACTGCTGCAGTCAGTCACCCTATTTCCCTCTTCTCACACAAGGATCACAGTGGTGTTTAATTTTTCCAGCAGGATTCCCTTACTTTCTTTTTAAAAAATTTCATTCATGGTGTTTTGGACATTGAGTGAGTTAGTGCAAATTATTGTTGATAATTCTTTTTTTTTTGGTGTGTTTTTTATTGTTATAGTAGAGGGTTTTACGGCGCTCGCAACTGCATAAGGTGTTGGTAATTCAGCGCCATTATGTATACTGTGGACTCCTATGTATGAGAGTTAGTTGTTCTCACATTCTTCAAAAATTCTACAAGGAACAGACACGGACAAGTTTGTGCGACTATATCTGAGAGGAATGTGTTTAGTCAGAGGTGGCGACTTTTAATAATTTTTTTTAAAATTACTGTTAATAATTTTCTTTAAAATACTTTTAAAACTCTAAAAAGCTATTTATTTTTTTCTATTTATTCCTTCTCATTTAGATCTATGTCCTTGCATATTTTTGTTTGTTTAGCTTTTACTTTTTAATCCATCCATTCATTTTTTAAATTTACAGCTTTATTTTTTAAAATTCAAGTCCTTGTAAATTATTTTTTGGGTTCAAATTTGTTCATCTATAAACTTTTATCATCTATTATTGTTCCTGAAAAGAACTCATTCTAATCAGACAGAAAAAGCAGGGGGAAAAAATACTAAAAAAGCTGCAAATAGTGTTTAAAATTTGTAATGGATAAAAAAAGCTTCTGGATTATTTACTCCACTGAAGACAACAATTACATTTCTAAAACCTGCAGTCATATTGTAAAACAGAAATTGAATGGAAGATTCTTTAGTTAACTATTCACATTAAAGACCACAATAATAAACTTTATAAAATTTGTGAAAAACTTGAAATCCGCAAAAAAGTGTGTAAAATAATAATGAGGGGAAAAAGCATCTGCAGTCATCTATAAAATAAATAAGGCAGAGAAATACATAACACCCAAGCTAGTAGTTGTACCAATACCCTGAAATGTCTGCAGTTATTCCTCGTGGGGCAGGCACATCTTCAATCGTCCCACACGTGGTCAACGAGGGAGAAGGGGCCTGACCTTCAGCAGGTCACGGTCACGCGTAGGCGGAAACATCGTCTGAGGTCACAAACACATTCACACGCCGTCTCCCTCCCAATCACTCTCACTTCAACAGCCTTTTCACTGAGAAGAGAGAGTTTGTAAAAAATATTGAAAAACTTGAAGAAAACAGAAAATGCTACGACAAATTTTTTCTCGTTTCTCTACCCACAAAAGCTTAACAATTCAAAAATATATGACTCATTTCCCCTACCGGGTACCTACAAACCTGAAAAGACAATTAAACAAAACAATCTTACAAAAAAGGTTAAGTTGTTTACTCCGTCCATCTTGGTAACAAGTTTTTTCCATTTTTCAAAACTGCAAAACGTAATAATGAGGGAATGCTTCTTGAGAAAGACATTTTAGATAAGTAAAACTGACCTAAAAAAAAAAAAAGAAAGAATGAAAAATTCCCATCCACATAAACAACTACAGCTTAATTCATTTGGGTAAAAGCAACAACAGTCATCCCCACCCTCAGTCTGTCTTCATATCTGTCAGTTTATCTGTATCAGTCGGGTGATATATTTTTTCACATCAAGAAAATTATGATAAATTTACAATGTAAAACCTCGCTAACATCAAAATTAGAGAGGAGCTCGAAATGTTACAACTGCACCTATTTGACTCTTTTTTTTCACCATGACTCAACCCTTACAATCCACTTGTGTCTTCAACAGGTGTGAGGTCAGGACAGCCGAGTGCGTTGACCAGATGACCAGCACGCACCAGCAACACCACAACAGCAGTGAAACTCCAGAAGGAAGATCCTCAAATCTACGGGCCAACTCTTCCTTGACCAGCCCCACCCGTCACTTGACAAGTTTCCTCTCCAGCAACGAACACTGGACACTGGATGCTGGGGAAGCAAAATGTAAATGTTTAGTTTTGTTAGCAGCAAGCTGGTCCATTCTTACCCTTCTTGCAAGGACAATGAAATTTACTTGAGAGAGGATAAGGAGGGGAAGGGGGGGGAGAGA